GCTGCACTCTGCCCCTGCACCAGAAGGTGGGCAAACACATCCCTTCCCTGTGTGGCAGACTATAAGATGACAGCACATGGCAGTAGAGAGACAGGACAGGGAAAGAGAGGACAAGGGAGAGAGGGCAGTCATTCAAAGGACCCCCACAAGCCCCATGGCCGAATGACAGGATGAGACAGTGCCTTGCCCCCACGGGATAGACAGGGAAACTGAGGCCCACAGAAGAAATATAACTGATTCGTCCAGGAACCACACAATGAGTAATAGCCACACAGAGACAATGCCAACATATATTTCGCCTGGGCTCCCTCCTTCCCCAGCCCTCGGCTTGGAGCTTGCACATGCCGGTAACTTCACAGCACACAGACCCTCATACCTTGTGGTCCTGAGTCCTGCGGTGTTGGATCAGGTCCCCCATGTAGTACACCTGACAGGTGTTGCACCAGCGCCTGGGTGGAGGCTCTCTGAATGACAACAATAAAAACAATTACAACATGACACTATGTTCTTATAAAGAGAGCAGCTCTCCCAGATTACTCCATAAATGTAATGCAATTCCAATTTAAATTCCAACAGGATCTTTTCTTAAAACTTAAATGGTTCTGAGGTTCATCTACACAAACACTTAATCAAGAATAACCAAGAAAATTTGGGGAAAAAAGGAGATTCAGGAGCATTTGGACTACCAGCCATTAAAATAAAAATCACAAGATACAAGTTAAAACTGTAGCATGTTGTATATTCTGACAGTGTATCAGTGGGACAGAATAGGAAGTCCAAAACAAGCTCAAATATAGATAAGAACTTAGCTTCTGATAAATTGATGTTGAGTAGCATAGATTATGTTGGGAGAATTTGCTATCCACTTGGATAAAAGTTGTTTGCACCTCCTACCTCCTACCTTCAAAATAAATTCTAGTTAGACTAGAGATTCAGGCAAAAACTAAAATCATGGATTTGGCAATGGATGATTAGATAATGTCCTCAGGATAAAGCATGAACAAAATAAAATATAGATAAGCTAGACTTCATTAAAATTAAAAACTTTTGTGCATCAAAGGACATTATCAAGAAAATGAAATGACAACCTACAGAATGGTAGAAAATATTTGCAAATAATATATTTGATAAAGGTCTGTTGTTGTTAGGTGCCATCGAGTCAATTTTCAACTCATAGTCACCCCATGTGACAGAGTAGAACTGTCCCATAGTTTTCTTGGGTATAATCTGTATGGAAGCATATCGCCAAGTCTTTCTCCTGTGGAGCCATTGGGTGTTTGAGCTGCCAACCTTTGGGTTAGCAGCCAACCATTTAACCATTGCTTATCCAGGGATCCTTGGTAAGGGTCTAGTATCCAGACTATATAAAGAACTCTCACAATTCAACAACAAAAAGACAAACAACCCAGTTAAAAAATGGGCAAAGGACTTGAACAGGTATTTCTTCAAAGAAGATATACAAATGGCCGATAAGCACAGGAAAAGATGCTCAATATCATTAGTCATCAGGGAAATGCAAATCAAAACCACAATCAGATACCACTTCACACCCATTAAAATGGCTATTAAAAAAACTCCTGAAAATAACAAGTGCTGGTGGGAATTAAAAATGATACAGCTGCTGTAGAAAACAGTTTGGTGGTTTCTCAAAAAGTTAAACATAAACCTACCCAAACTCACACAAACTGAGGTA